GAAGTTTATTGATTGCTACAATGAGGCAAGGCGAGACATTTGGGGACGTACAAAACTCTCTTGTGAGAGATGATTCCTTGGGTAAGGGGAGGGCACTTTTGTGCCCTTTGAGAAATGTGAGAACCCAATACTTCCATCTAGCGGCCTAGAGGAGAACTTCAAACGGAACCCTATAGGCCTATAGGGTTGCGTATAAGTCCTATAGGGATCCCTATAGGTCCTATAGGTCCTATAGGGAACTCTATAGGTTCTATAGGGGACTCTATAGGTCCTGAACTGAACTCTATGGGGCATATAGGAACCCTTAGGATTCCTTTAGGTTCCTATAGGATTCTTATAGGAATATATAGGAATCCTATAAGATATTTTCGTAAGGGGGACGTCTCCAGTAAGTGAAGCCGCGCAGGACTCTATGGCATCCAGAGAATGTACAGTATAATAAAGGACATGGATCACAGGAGGCCCAGAGCGGAGCATGTAGGGTTCATAGTCTGAGTCCTCACTTCCTGTCACTCGCAAAGGAAGAACCCATCCCTATCTTCCCTAGTCCGCTCCGCTCTCTCTCTTCCTCGAAGGGAATCGTGGCCTTGGGGGCGGACGATCGCCTCGCCTCGATGTGACTTGGCCTCGCCCAGTGTGCGACGGGATTCCGGTCTCCACGCACTCGATGAGGACTGCCTGCTGCATCATTGCCTTTTCGATGTGATATAGTGACTCGATCTTCTGACATCGCCGCGCTGCTGGTAGGTCCACGCTACTGAGACGATCCAGATCACAAACAGTAATTATTTAGAAACCTAGATGTAAAACTCTAATTCTTACAATATCTTTAACAAAAAAATGAGGCGGGGAGGACGCAAATGCAGAGCAGAGTCAAATGAAGCCGATTCCTGGGTGCCCAGCCCGTGCTCGCAGCCTGCGCCCCGACTCGAAACCGATTGGAAGTCAAACTGCAGGAACTGACACGTGAACTAAAGCCTATCACGTTGACTTACGCTATGCCATCGAAAAAATGGGATTTATTGCTGGCAATTATGCTAATTGCTGTTTGCTAATATGTTCCACATTTATTTCGGAACCGCACGAAAAGAAGACGGAATTCCGTGCCCTCCCGACCTGACGACTGAGCCTCGTCCCCTTCCTCATTTCTCCCGCTCCCTTCCTCATTTCAGGCTGCTAAACCGATCGTCTTCCACCTTAAACCTCTCTTTCTTCGATTACTTGCACGAATCCTACTAATTCCACCGATTGGATGACGTCGCGGGTTAATATGTATCGACTCTACGTTTGATGCGAATAATCCTTCGAACCCGTCTACAAGAAAGATAGCAATTAAAGAATGGCTATTTAAAGAATAGTTCCACGTATCAGTCCCAAAGACTCGTCTGGAATTTTTTTTTCTTTCCCGCATTTTTCTTTGCTCCGTACTTGCCACGGCACACAAAACCGCATGGTTTTGCGCTTTCGCGATCAGCTCCGAGTCCACGACCTTCCATATAGAAGAACAATGGCAATCAATTCCCCCGAGGATAATCCTTTTTCACAATGACGGAAATCCCTCTGCTTCCGGCCGAGGCCCGTCTCCCTTTTCCCACGCGTTTCCCGGCTTTATTCTCCAGGGGATTAGAGTCCCGATCTGGGAGCGGTTATCGGGGAAAGTTTTGCCGAGACAGGCTTCTTTCTGTGTTCGGCCATTTCATTTCCCAGATGCAATATACGGCTGAGTTCTAATCAATTTCTTCCGGGTTTGACTTTGTATCCACGAGCATCGCCTTTCATTAACATTATTTTTATTATTATTGGTGAATTATTACGTTAAAAAATGAGCAAGTGATCGAGAGGTGAGACTACTGCTTCTTTCTCGAAATTGCCAAATTTAATACTAACAAGTGAAATCCACGTGGATTTTCAGGATAAAGTTTCTTCCGCACGTAAATTGGCAAGGAAAATTTCCTCCAGATTTTCCCCTCCCAAAATTTCTAACCTCTCAAGTGGCACGTGGCATTGGCCCAGGTTGTAAATATGCAACTCAATTTAATTGCGCGATTGCATTCAGATTTAAATGCTATAGTCTGCCAGCAGTTTGACCTTACTTTCCGGCCATTTTTTTTTATTTGTAACACTGGAAGTAAATTTCTGCGTGCAGAATGAACGTTTACTAACCCGATACTTCGCCAATATTGTGGCTTGAGGCCTGATATGAGAGCGGAACTCATTTTTTTTATGTCGGAGGAGGTCCGTAAGGTTAAACTCCTTGCCACCGGCTCGAACACAACGTCATCTGGCGTCTCGGCCGTAAGATTATGCCAGAATCGTTGGCATTGCGCTTTCTCATCATCAGCTGGCATTACGCTAATAAATTCTTCCTGCCCTACAGGGCGTTCTCTTTTCCTTTGAGTTGCTTGCGGCCAACTTTAGACCAGTTCTAAAATCCAACCGATTCGATCCGAATAACCTCAGGTCGAGGTTAGATGGCAAATTATTACCAAGGTTTACAGAGATTACTGAGGGACAGAGCGAAGCAGCACACCGCGATTCATTCGCCCTGAAATCTGTCTCGTGTCCAGATCTCAGGAGAGCCGAAATGGATTCCACCGGGCCAGGCTCCGGCAGGGAGGACGGAGCCCGGTCGACTGATGGATCTCAGCGGAGTCGGACGCGGGCCGGCACCGGAGCCGCCTTCGATGAGCCCGATGCCAGGTAAGTTAAATATGCAACAAATTGCCATTTCGACCCGTTCTGCAATTTGTACCTGATGGATGCTTTGGGAATGCAGGAATTTCGGGAACAACAGGCCCGCTTCCCAAGAAAAGACCGGTGACGCAAGGTAAATTTTTTTTCGCAATCCAGGATATCAACGAAATTATGTGCATTTCAGATTCCGCCTTTCTGATTTTTGGGCAATGCCTTTCCTCGTCTAGGTTTCCAATATAATTTTTGGCAAGAATATACCATGGAAACATGTTTCTAGCTTTATTATTAATATAGTAACCGTAATTTTTTTGCCTTGCGCCAACACCATGTCTATAGCAAATCTGGATCTTTATCCGTTGCGAGAAGATGATGGGAACCGTCGTTTCGGTATAGGGTCTTCGGAGTCCTGGAATCATGCACAATATAGCACATATTGGGAGTAAAACTATGCACGCGGAATGCCAAATGCCGGATTAAATGGGCACCGTACATTATTAAGCTCTTAGAGTGCCGGGAAAAAACTAGTGTCAGTATCGTCCGCGGAGACACGAATCGCTTTCACGTAAAATCACTCTGCATTCTAATTTAAGGGAAAATAAAATGTTCGTGTCGCCAGGACGAACTCGGGATTGAGTTCCTTCCATTTCATCCATGTGGCTTAACCGAGCAAAATAAAAACGGCGTGGAGTCCAAGACCCCAGACTCCGTCGCCCACGACCTCAACCTGTTGCCAATCCACCTCAGGGCAACCATTGCAAAATCTATTGGCACTTAGAGCACTGGCCGAGCCCATCCATTGGAATAGTTCTTCGTGATTACTCCGTAGACGCCTTGTTCTTTCGGGCTTGCGCTGGCCTCGACCAGAATTGTGGCAATATTCTGGCAGGATTTGGCAGGGGATGACGAATACAAGGAGAAAAAAAATTGCTACATGAACATGAACTGGTCCCCATGGTACTTCAAGGTACATTTACCGAAGTGAAGGAGAACCAGGGCGAACACATAAAGACTCACAAAAATGAATTCGGTTGGGGCACCTGGTTATTCGTTCGATTACGTTAAAGTTGACAAGGTCTCTTTCGCCTAATTCACCCCAGAGTCGGTCCTGTAAGAGAATATAAATAATTCAGCAGGTCTTCAGGGCGTGTGTTCTCAATCCCTCTGCCAGAGGCTATTAGCTCTCATTAACCTTAAAATATTGAGAAAATAACAATAGGGAATGTTGTGAAGGGAACTAATGATATTGAAGCAAAGCTATCTAAGGTAAATTTACAGCTATATGCGTTTCCGCGAGTAACACTGCAATACAATGAAGTAATGTCTAGAAGTAATGCTCTCGTCACTTTACGCGCTCATCCCTAGGCGTAGCATCCTCTGGGAACCAAACATCCCCGAAAAATTGGACTGCTACGTTGAAGCGCTAGACAAGCAATCCCGGGGTTTCGCCGTCATATTCCACCACGAGAAATTCGACGGCAGTCGCCTCCCTGCCCGCCCGGAGGTGAGGAAGGACGTGGAGAACTTGACGCGCGTTTTCGTGGCGAGGGGATTCACGGTCAAAGCATTCAAGGACCTCCGCTACGAGAGCATCAAGAAGGAATTGATCGACAGTGAGGCCGTTTTTGAGACGAGCTCAGTCTTCTTTCACAACGGAGTGGCTTCGTTTTATCGCCCCCGTCGTCAATATTCTCTGAAATGCTCAGTTCTAGCAGTTTCAAGGTCTTTCTAGCAATAAATAGAACAGAATTCACTCCGTTTTGGAATGAAGTCCCGCTACGAGCGTCTTGTTCAACGTCTGCACAGACACAATGTCATTCGTGTTGACGAGAATTTATGCTTCTATTTGCACAGTTGCCGGCTCGAAAGAACTCAAAGTTGCTTGCTCGAAAGAACTCAAAGATCATGACTGCTTCATTTTGTGCTTTCTATCTCACGGGAAAGAAGGCCGCCTTTATGCCAAGGATAAATCCTTCGACGAGAAGAAACTTTGGAATAGATTCTACGACTGTGAAGCTCTCGTCGGGAAACCGAAGCTTTTCTTCATTCAGGTACAGAATGATTTTATATCAGGCGTCTTATTATTCAAGAAATGGAATGATTTTTCTTTTACAAACGATTTTGAATTCCGTATTTGTAGGCATGCAGGGGAAACTATTACGACGACGGCATGAGGGGAAATGCAATCAGTACTGACAGCTCACGGATTGACACACTCGACCACGACGGGTGGGAAGGCGATGAAGACGTCAAGGGCGAGTACCACCTCCCTACCCACGCCAACGTCCTCATCGCCCACGCGACCTACGAAGGTGAGCTCCCAGCGACCATTTTTCCTCGTAACCTCCAGCGGGCAGAACCTGACGGTAGGATTTCCTTTAAACGGCAGGACACGTTGCGTGGAAAAGCGAGAACGTGGGGTCGTACTTTGTCTACACCGTGTGCAAGGTCTTGGAGAAGCACTCCGAGACTATGGACGTGATGACGATGCTCACGATTGCGGCGGGCGTCATGGCCGAGGACTTCATGTCCGTGAGCGACGATCTACAAAAACACGAAAAGAAGCAAATGCCAACCATTCGAAGCACGCTCACCAGAAAATTGTACCTCAAACCTAAGCCGCAACCTTAACGGTTTCGGTCTAGTCTTCTTACTGAGTCACCTTATGAGCTACCCTATCCTTCCTTATTTTTTTTTCTTCTTCCCGCTTCAATCATGCTACCTCGATTTCAGTTTCTTCTTCTGAGGATGATGTCATAACTATAGTAAATAAAATGGAAGACACCGGAACATATGTCCTCGGTAACTACAGCCGAAGGTTGAAAATCCAGCAGAAATTAATTCTCCCAGAAATCGTTCCGTCACCAGGTAAAGGCTGTACTATTTCGTTATCAGGAGAAGCATTGCGTTTACGAATATTAAAAACTCAGACCATAAAGTGCTCACCAATTCCTTTTATTTCAGTAAGCATAATGAAATGATGGAGGGACGAGTCGACGGGAAGAGAGTTGGCTGACGAGTCCGAGTCGACGGCGCAAATTTGTCCGGAAAAGGAAAGATTACCGAATTGCATTTCCTTCGAGCATTCTACCAATTGTCGTTGGGAATAAAAAAAACCTCCTTTCTTGGGTTTCTTCAAGCACCGGGGATCGGTATATAGTTGAAGTATGTACAGGGTGTCCCGTTAGTCGCTATACCATTTCAAATTGCAATAAGCAGATCACTGTTGTTAGCTTTGATGAAAAGAACGTTCTTCAGAATTTTTTTTTCTCGCGATGACTTGATATGAGACTCAGACGGAAATTTATTGATATTTATGGTAAATATTGCTGTACCCTAAAAGAAATTGTTTAAATTTGATGGTTTTCTATTCTATTTTCAAATAGACTCAAGAAACAGAAATATATATTTTTTCGTTTACTTCGTTTTCGCTCTCATGAGAAAAGGCTTCGCAATTGTCGCTGGAGCAACGAAGAAAAGTTTCACCTAGAAGGGGGACTTTGAGGGACTTTGAGAGTCTCGTCCGAGTTCGAAGGGATTTTCAGCGATATTTTTGGTGCCGAGTCTCATTCCAGATGTATTGATATATGCGGAGGGCATCGACAGGCACTTTCACAACTCAAAATTGCCTTCATTTTTTATTAATATAATTCCAAATGAAATGCTATCGTTCCGTTGATTCTACTTATTGTTTGTCCCAACTGTTTATTAGATGCAATTTCTTGAAATGATATTGTGACTCACGGGGACACCCAGTATTTTCGAAAGCGAGCTCCTGCCGTTTTTCGCCGCACTCTGCCTTGAGGCATCGTCCAGCGAAGGCCTGCTGAGTTCTCTCTTTTGCGATCTATCCTCCACTGCAAACTTCCTTTCATCCGTATGCCTAGAGATGAAAAATAGAGAAACTTGCATTCCTCCCATTCCCCCTATTGTGACGAAGAGGCATGGCGCGAGTCAGCTTTCAATCTCCAGACCCAGTTTGATGAGGCCGACTAGAACTGGCGGTGCCTCAAAGGAACTTTGTTTGAAGAGGGGAGAGCCTTCGAGGCTGCGCCAGGAACGAAGTCCACTTTCAGCGGCATCACAAAAGCAGCATGAATAACCGCGAATACACCGCGACGGGATGGCTGAATACATAAGCCAATTACCAATGAGCCAATTACCAATAAGCCAATTACCAGAATTTCCAGCCGTGGAGGGGACAGTAAATAGGAAATTGATTAGTTTCTCAACCTTTACGTGTTTGGTATGAGTTCCTTTTTTCACATCTTCAAAAGTATGAGATAATCTCATGGAGTTTGCGGTTGTTGCCTTTGTGAAAGTAATTTCTTTGGAAGGAAAGTCCAGTACCTACTACCAGCTACGAGATAGGAGGGATTCAAAGGCTGGAGTCCCAAAATTGTCTGCTGGCTGAAGGCACTAATTTGATTGATTACCAGAGAAAATAATAAGAATAAATTCGTGTCTGTATTAATTTCAATAAATACAGAACTTCGTGCAGTAGGACCTATGAAATTCTACGCTTGGCATGATCTCGTGGTGGATTCCATTCCCCATCCACCTGGACGAGGAGAAAGAGACTAATTAAATGTCCACATTCTGGAAATCTCGAGAGTCAATAAAAATTATAGTTGCACGGAACGTGGTCATTTCTTAGCTAAAGTGGACGAATCGAACGGGAATTGAGGACCAGGCTTCATGAGGAACGACTTTTATCTTATCATCCGCAGGAAAGAAACTTGTAAGCACTTCATGAGAAACACCCAAGGGCAATGATGCGTCATCTTCCGTACTTACATTCTTAGTGCCGAGAATGACCTCTGCAGTATGAGATAAAGGACTGTCATGAGGGCTCAACTCGTAATGCATGCGGGATCCTTCCTGTGGGTGTGACGGCGGCGATCTCTACTGAACGGAGATAGTTGAAACTCGTGACGTCATTAGGGTGCGCATTCAATCAATCATTGGCATCATCTGCCTTATGAACGGGAGAAATGTATCATGAAGTTTCCTGGCAACGCCAGGAGGAGGGGGATTAGCGAAGGTTCTCAGGGGTGAAAAAATCAATTGGAAGGAGTGCTACACACTCTGAAAGGCTGACAGAATGCGGTCGACCACCCTCCCCCCCCCCTCCCCCTCTCAAGCCCATTAAAATACGTGACCGCCGTCAGTGTACATACTAGCCTTCATGGCTCCATTTTTAACTGTCGCAAGGAGGCTGGCAATCTCGCTCTCTGTCGCCGTATTGTCCTTATGGAGAGGTCATGAGAGCTCCGCGATTAGTCAGTGCGGTAAGATGAGGAGAGTGCAAACAGAACCTCACAGTAAAACAGGGAAAATCTATTCCATTTCTCAGAAGAGATCAGTCCCTATTTCCGTTAAGGAAGATTATGATTTATGCCTTGGTTCAATTTAGCCTTATCTTATCTGGCAGGGGCGATAGTGCTAGAGTGGCTTTACTTGAGTCGAGCGCTCACTGGAAATTAGATACGAACCCTGACGCTGCCAAGGGCGACAGAAAATGGAGTTTCAGTGACTCGATTCGAATTCGTGCTCTAGCAAAATAGTGCAACTTTAGAAAGGACTCAATCCAGTTAAGCTCCTGCATGGAGAACGAAGCCCGGTTTTTCTCGGACCCTCAACGGAGTCAACCGTGTCCTGGCTCAACAATCGTCGCCGATGAGCCCGATACGAGGTATGATACATCTGCTAATCCGTTAATGTAAATCCAGCCCGCTCAGAGATATTCATCTCACGCACACAATTGGGAATCTGCAGGACTTTCGAGAGCAATGAGCCCACATCTCCTCCCCAAGGAAATGAAAAGCAAGAAGGAAATCCAGGTGGTAGCAGGTAACTTTCAATGTCAATATTCCATGGTATTGTGCTATGTTATGAAAGTTCCAAGCGCTTCATGAATCAAGAAACATAATTTAGAGGTTGACGTTCTCACTCTTTCAACTTTGACCGAACCGGAGGGAAAATAATTGAGGTCTAATGACCGTGCCAAAGCGATGAAGGGCCTCACCAGGACGACGAAGGACTGAAGAAAACCTGACTCGAGTACAATGCCCATTGCCCATTGCCCATTGCCTATTGCCCATGGCTGGGAAGGACATAGCATAGCAAGCAGACGCAATGGCCAAGGCGGGACGAAGAACATCCCTGTTCTTGAATGTCCAAGTAAAACGTAACCATTATATAAACACATTAATATGACACACTTTTACATCAATTGTCCCTGCTGAAACATCTATCTCTATAATCTATTCGTGCAGTATTTTCATGCGATATATCCCTTGCAGCATTCTTTGGGTAGTCCACTTCGGAAGTCATCCCAACCCGGAATTATTTATGTCACACGAGTGCGATCGGCTATATAGCCGACGTCCTCTGTCTGTCCGCCGGAGGTCTGCACTGGCTCACTTTTTCGAATTCGACTCGATTGGCCCGATTCGAATCATGGTCCCGAAGCTCGATCGCGGGACCGACCTTTACCGACCCCCTTCCCCCCCCTCTGGAGGGTAATATTGGGCCTGCAGCTTCCCTTGGCCTTCAAGCTTCAGAACTCAAGGTCTTCGGGTTCGTTCTTCATCTAGGCGGCTCTGCTGACGCTTCCAGCTATCCCATGACGCCACATTCGTGATGTTAGTGCTCTCAAAGGTCACTATGTTCCGCCCGCCATTGTGAGCGGCTGGAGAAAAAGACCATTTGATTCGCCTGCACCAAACAAGAAGCTTGATTGCTAACCGAGCTGCCGCTCGGTCAGCTCGGACCAATGGAGTTGATCTGCATCTCAATACCTTGCTCAAAATCATACCTTATCCAATTCCCGGGTGTTCCAAATTTCAACTGCATGCCTCACTTGAGTGCAACAAGGCGTATATGTATGAGAATTTGCATATTTCCAGTTGAGGGTTCCCTGATGACGTAAGGCATCCCCTATAATTGATCACAAGGCTGATGCAAAGCGTGGCACTTTGAAATTCGAACGTTATCCTTACACTGATTTATTTTCTCTTAATGCTAATTGCATATTAAACCTGAATTCTTGATGTCTGTTTAAACGTTGTTACCCGCGAAGTGGATCCCGCGGGACGCGGGTGTGGTCTAGTTTGGTAAATTCCTGTAGAGAGCTTATGTCGCAATAAGATAGTAAATGAATGCTTTCCCGTTGGGGGGGGGGGATTGGCCCTCTGACCTATACTTACAGTCCCCATCGCTAGATGTCACGGGTGAGCCCCAGTGCTTGTAAATAAAAGGCGTATATGAGTTTAAAAATTAAGCACCTAACTCGACAAAAAATAGTCAGGGAAGCCTTTTATTGACCCCGGGCTAGTAGTTGGAGAATAAATGTAAGAGTCTCGACCCTGGGTTTATAAGGTTATCAAGCCCCGTCTAAGATGGCATCATGTTCCTTGGGGGAGATTGCCTACGAGAGGACACTCGGGAAGTGAGCAGTCCAAGGCGGTACCAACGACCTGTTTTGACTCTTCTGATAGATTTTTAATAACCTCGAGTATTTGGAAACCACTGGCCTTTTTCATCACCTCGAGCATCTTGGGAATCGACTTCCAGCGTGGGCCGGAATGGTTCCCGTGAGTGGGGTTTAAAGAACCTTCAGGGAACTGACCCAACATCCATCCGGATTTGTCCTGGTGGAGATTGAGGTCATGCCAACCGTTCGGGGGGAGAAACGACAGCGAAACCCTTCCCCGACCATTTCCTTATGCGCCACATCCCCGGATCCGTTCGACGACTCGTTCGACGGTGGCCCGGTGCTACTTGTAGATTAAGCTAATTGTTATCAGGCCAGANCCCCTCTCAAGCCCATTAAAATACGTGACCGCCGTCAGTGTACATACTAGCCTTCATGGCTCCATTTTTAACTGTCGCAAGGAGGCTGGCAATCTCGCTCTCTGTCGCCGTATTGTCCTTATGGAGAGGTCATGAGAGCTCCGCGATTAGTCAGTGCGGTAAGATGAGGAGAGTGCAAACAGAACCTCACAGTAAAACAGGGAAAATCTATTCCATTTCTCAGAAGAGATCAGTCCCTATTTCCGTTAAGGAAGATTATGATTTATGCCTTGGTTCAATTTAGCCTTATCTTATCTGGCAGGGGCGATAGTGCTAGAGTGGCTTTACTTGAGTCGAGCGCTCACTGGAAATTAGATACGAACCCTGACGCTGCCAAGGGCGACAGAAAATGGAGTTTCAGTGACTCGATTCGAATTCGTGCTCTAGCAAAATAGTGCAACTTTAGAAAGGACTCAATCCAGTTAAGCTCCTGCATGGAGAACGAAGCCCGGTTTTTCTCGGACTCTCAACGGAGTCAAACGTGTTCTGGCTCAACAATCGTCGCCGATGAGCCCGATACGAGGTATGATACATCTGCTAATCCGTTGATGTAAATCCAGCCCTCTTTGAGATATTCATCTCACGCACACAATTGGGAATCTGCAGGACTTTCGAGAGCAATGAGCCCGCGTCTTCTTCCCAAGGAAGTGAAAAGCAAGAAGGAAATCCAGGTGGTAGCAGGTAACTTTCAATGTCAATATTCCATGGTATTGTGCTATGTTATGAAAATTCCAAGCGCTTCATGAATCAAGAAACTTAATTTAGAGGTTGACGTTCTCTTTGAACTTTGACCGAACCGGAGGGAAAAAAAATTGAGGTCGAATGACCGTGCCAACGCGATGAAGGGCCTCACCAGGACAACGAAGGACTGAAGAAAACCTGACTCGAGTACAATGCCCATTGCCCATTGCCCATTGCCCATAGCCCATGGCTGGGAAAAACATAGCATAGTAAGCAGACGCAATGGCCAAGGCGGGACGACGAACGTCCCTGTTTTTGAATGTCCAAGTAAAACATAACCATTATATAAACACATTAATATGACACACTTTTACATCAATTGTCCCAGCTGAAACACCTATCACTGTAATCTATTCATGTAAAATTATTGTCAGATAATTTGCATTGCAGCATTCTCTGTGTAGTCCACTTCGGAAGTCATCCCAACCCGGAATTATTTGTCACACGAGTGGGATCGGCTATATAGCCGACGTCCTCTGTCTGTCTGTCTGCCTGCCCGCCGGAGGTCTGCACTGGCTCACTTTTTCGAATTCGATTTCGATTGGCCCGATTCGAATCATGGTCCCGAAGCTCGATCGCGGGACCGACCTTAACCGATCCCGCCTCCGGAGGGTAATATTGGGCCGATCGGGCCGGCCTGCGGCTTGCCTAGGCCTTCAAGCTTCCGAACTCAAGGTCTTCGGGTTCGTTCTTCTTCTAGGCGGCTCTGCTGACGCTTCCAGCTATCCCATGACGCCACATTCGTGATGTCAGTGCTCTGAAAGGTCACTACGTTCCGCCAGCCACTGTGAGCGGCTGGAGAAAAAGACCATTTGATTCACCTGCACCAAACAAGAGGCTTGATTGCTAACCGAGCTGCCGCTCGGTCAGTTCGGACCAATGGAGTTGATCTGCATCACATGCCTTGCTCAAAATCATACCTTATCCAATTCCCGGGCGTTCCAAATTTCAACTACGTGCCTCACTTGAGTGCAACAAGGCGTATGTGGATGAGAATTTGCATACTTCCAGTTGAGGGTTCCCTGATGACGTAAGGCATCCCCTATCATTGATCACAAGGCTGATCCAAAGCGTGGCACTTTGAAATTCGAACGTTATCCTTTCACTGATTTATTTTTTTATGATGCTAATTGCATATTAAACCTAAATTCTTGATGTCTGTTTATTCTTTATGTAAACCTTGTTACCCGCGAAGCGGATCCCGCGGGACGCGGGTGTGGTCTAGTTTGGTAAATTCCTGTATAGAGCTTATGTCGCAGTAAGATAGTAAAGGAATGACATCCCGTTTGGGGGGGGGGGATTGACCCCTGACTTATACTTACAGCCCCAGTCGCTAGATGTCACGGGTGAGCCCCCGTGCTTGTAAATAAAAGGCGTATATGAGTTTTAAAATTAAGCACATAACTCGACAAAAAATAGTCAGGGAAGTCTTTTATTAACCCCGGGCTAGTAGTTGGAGAATAAGTGTAAGAGTCTCGGCCCTGGGTTTATGAGGTTATCAAGCCCCGTCTAAGATGGCATCATGTTCCTTGGGGGAGATTGCCTACGAGAGGACACTCGGGAAGTGAGCAGTCCAAGGCGGTACCATCGACCTGTTTTGACTCTTCTGATAGATTTTTAAAAACCTCGAGTATTTGGAAACCACTGGCCTTTTTCATCACCTCGAGCATCTTGGGAATCGACTTCCAGCGTGGGCCGGAATGGTTCCCGTGATTGGGGTTTAAAGAACCTTCAGGGAACCGACCCAAGATCCATCCGGATTAGTCCTGGTGGGGATTGAGGTCATGCCAACCGTTCGGGCGGAGAAACGACAGCGAAACCCTTCCCCGACCATTTCCTTATGCGCCACATCCCCGGATCCGTTCGACGACTCGTTCGACGGAGGCCCGGTGCTACTTGTAGATTAAGCTAATTGTTATCAGGCCAGAAATACATGTTGATCGCATTGTCCCCGAGTTTCTATTAATCTTGTTTCCACCCGTACCTCCGACACCAGCATTCAGCCAAGGAAGGTTCACTGAGGTTCACTGACACCCAGTATCCCGTGGGCGCAAGGTGCGCTATTAAATCTATGTTTCGGATGCTACACGTTAATCCCGCGGGATTAATACGGGCACAATGGACTACGACACCCGTAGGACCGTAACACTATCAAGCCTCATTCATCCGGGATACAACAAACCTAAGAACAGTCAAAAGGGAACTGGATTGTAAAGGAATCTCAAAAAAATTTTTTTAGACAAGCTCCGACTCCATGCACACTTTTTTTTAGAAACAATTATGAAATAAATGTCCTCGTCTCTTTAAAATTGTTGGGTTTGACCATAGCGACGTCTGGAAACCGAACGTTCCGGATAAGCTGGACTGTTACCCGATGAAAGAAGTTGGAGCAAGTGTCCGGGGGTGGGTTCTCGTATTCTACCACGAAGATTTGCTGCACTTGGAGCTAGAAGGAGCAGCCCTACCTCACCTTTTACTACACCTCTTAAACTCTGCGCAGAAGTCTCACAGGGGATTCCTCGTCAAGGCCTACAAGGACCTCAAATTCGAAATCATCAAGGGAGTATTAAATGAAAGTAAGTCCGTTTCTGATAAAGCTGACCTAGTCAAGAAGTATCTTCATACATGGCTAAATACATAACGACCTGCAGACATCTGCATGAACGGAATTTGTCCAGTGAACTCCTCCCGGGTTTCTTAACTGATTTTCATCATTGACAGCTCATTCGATTCGTATTTGTTTTGCATATGTGCAAACACATTTTATATTTTTTTTGGTTGACATTTGACCTGATCCAGATGACTTTTCACACTTTGAACCATAATTCCTTTCTAATGCATCATTCGAACTCCCTCGATTTTCACTGTTGGAATTTGTTTTAACGTTGTAAAAATATTGACATTTGATCCTCCTGTAGTTAGTCCGAGTTGGGAATGCACAGGCGCCTCCTCTCTACAGTCAAGATAACTGCTTTGAGACTAATGTACAGCACCAGTTTTCAACTCTTCGCTTCAGATTGAAGCTCACATTTTATCTCAGCTCTACTGAGAGGTGTTCTTCATTCCCATCACCCGTGATGAGAATGAAGTAGTATATAGCATTGAAACAATATTGACTCAATGTTGATCCAACATGCGGACGTTGAACCAACGCTGAATAAATGTTAATTCAATGTTATATGCTACTAGGGCACTTTCCGGAACTTGCAATGGTCTTATGCAATAGCTTTACTCAAATCAGAGAACATGAATGCCTGTGGTACAGTGATTTTCCACTGGTTGCAACAAAATCACTTTTTGAAAGACACCTCATGCTATCCAACTGAGCGAAATCTGCGATCTCAAAACAACTACACTTGTCAAAATCAGTGACTGAATTAGAAATTATGGTGATTCCCGCTTCCCCTCAGTAGTAGAGGGGATGCAATCAATGGAAAAACACTGGACCTGGGATGTCCAATGCTTTTAGCCTCACTTGATATGGATTGCATATATTTCAATGCAATATATGAGCCCATGACCTTAAAACAAGATATCATAATGTGCATGGAACTTCTCTTTTCATGTATTGACCCATACTTTGACAATTGAGATGAAATGGTTAAGATGATTTCTCTGCTGTGATTTTTTTCTATCCATTGGAGATACCTATGGAGAATTTTAACCATTCCGAAAACCTATAAGTACTTACAGTCTCCTCGAGATAGTTCAGAAGAAGTCTTTGAAGGACACCTTGACCTGTTACTTTGCATCAGTCTCCTGATAGCCTCTTATTGCCATGTGTCTGAAACCATGCCACCATGTTTCTGAAATAAGTACCATTCGTATGGTGCATTTCATGACCAGATTTCCATGTATTTTATTACACCAACCTGTAATACTGTTTTATACTGTATTACTGGGAGCGATAAAATATATATTCAGTAGGATTTCCACGTGAATTCCAAAAGTATTCTATGCATCGTAGTATTTCTTCTTTAATTGCGCATTAAGTTCTGAGCACCTTCTAAAATATTGCGTACCCTTTTCAGAGAGTTGTCTACTCCTCTAATAGAGGGGTTTTCATATGATTCTATAGAAGCTTTCATGTACTCAATGGTGTCTTTCTATGAGATTCTATGAGATTCCATGCGATTGCTTATGCAGCGTCTCATCTGCATTTTTATACAATATTTTAGGGAATTTTCTATCGGATTCCATAAAGTATTCCATTGGACCCTATATAATCTTTCGCATGGATTCCTGCCTGTAACTTTCTATAGGATTCTATAGAAGCTTCCTAGAATCATATGCATTTATAGAAATTATTGCATACTAAACTCATAGAACCTTATAGAAACCTAATGAAAACTTCAATAGAAATCCTATGGAAATCCCATATGGAGGGGGGGGGGGTTCCATAACCTTTTCAATCGAAAATTCTACAAGATCATTCAATAGAATATCTATAGAACATATTCACATTGGCATCCTTTCTCCTTTCCTCAAAATGACTTTTGTAGGGTGTACAACATATCTAATTTTCCCTCTCAAGGGAAGAACTCCTAGCCTCGCCCTATGGACCATGCATTGGGCATAGGAAGAGCCTTGGGAAGAGTTCCCAAGTGAGTTCGATCATGCTCTTTAATCGAGGAGCACATTTTCTCTAGCAAACACCATCTGGTGTTCAAAGTCGAAGGTCATTGTCTACAAACCTCATATATACATGGTTTTCGACTAGTCATCTTGCGACAGAGGGGCTTCGTTTAACTCTCCATTCACCGAAATCCTCCCATATTCTCCGTCGGAAACTTTGAAGTCATTTCTAGATCAGATTCTGTCAAAAAAGTAAAGAAAACGGAAAAAGGCAAACGAAAATTGGTCTCCAGAAGTTTTTGAAAAACCCTGCTGCATGCTTTATATCCATTTGCTCCACGAACAAGATGCCAATGGAACTTGTGACTTTCCCAATATGTTTGCAGCTGCACGTTCCCAAGATCTCAAGGACCACGATTGCCTCATTGTTTGCTTCCTCTCTCATGGACAAGATGGAGGCCACCTCTTTGCCAACAATGTGCGCTTCGACGAGGAGGAACTGTGGAGGCCATTCTATGGAGATAAATGCAAAGCTCTCGTTGATAAACCAAAGCTATTCTTCATTCAGGTACGACATTCTGCATTGTTTAACATAGTATATGATAGACTGTCTATGAATTCCTACAAGTCCGCATAAATAGTTGATACTATGGCACAAATAACTTCCAATCCTTCCTCCTTCCCCGAAAATGTTAGCTTCGTGTGCCTGCATCCGGACTAATACTGTACCTCTCCGTATGTTATTCTTTAATTTAGATTCGATGCAACATTTCACCCAAGTAGGCATGTAGAGGGGAAGTTCTCGACGAAGGAGTGAAGGCAATGGTGAGAAGAGCCGGCCACTCGAGAGGCGACACCCACGACAGTCATCAGCGGCACGAGGAAGAATATCACCTCCCCACTCATGCCAACATCCTCATTGCTCACGCCACCTACGAAGGTCAGTGTCCCGAGTTTCTTCTTTCCTTCATTGTCCAATTGATTAAATGACAGAAACTTCCTTCCACAGGGCATGTCGCATGGAAAAGCAGTCACCTAGGGTCCTACTTCATCTACACCTTGTGTGAAGTCTTCGAAAAGCATTCTGAGACTCTAGATTTAATCAAGATGCTTACCATAGTTGCGCAGATAATTGCCTTCGAGTTCAAGTCCTCGAATAGAGATGCAGTCTGGGATAACAAGAAGCAAATGCCAACTATTCGAAGCACGCTTACCAGAGAACTATACCTCACACCAAAAGCGAATCACTAGCGCAATTTTATTTCAGCACATTGTCTAAGAGCTCAATGGCTTTCTCATGAATGTATTCTGTTTTTATGGAATTATTCATACCTAGATTCTTTGTGGAATTTCAATTGTAATGTTAAGATAAAATAGGATGCGAAATAAAATGTATTTATATTAGTTACCGAAAAACGGATGTCTTGTGCAGAAATAGTTATGAAACCAGGCTAAAACCGAATTATTTATTAAATATTTCATATAACCGTTATAGTCCCAATAAGCATAGCGTTGCATATCGTCTTCGTCAGCATCGAAGTCCCAGGCTACCACGTGCTCAGGGTCATCGACTTTGAAGGTAGCAAAACGAGAGCATTTTCCGACTAGCATCCTGCTAATGGGACAGATGGTCTTGAAGAGACATACTACGTACCAGGTTAATGTTGACAACTCGGTGCCTAGACCGATGACTCGGTCGGGAGGTCGCCAGGTTGGTGGACCTAATTCACCTTAAAACAAAATACCGCAATGTAGAATAAGTCCTATAATGGGTTTTCCAAAACCGGGACTGGAACTGAATTGCTGCTATGGTTTTTCGCGTAAAATCTTTTTTTTTTCGGAGATGATGGATATGAAGAGATATCCATATATTCCTGCTGCATACTTGTGCTCCTTTGCTCCAATATATTTTCCTATATTAAATGAATCCTTTATGATATTCCACTCAATTATTGCTGCTCGTTCCGATTCTACATTTCATGCCAGTGACCTTGTATCATAGAACAGCAACCGTTATGTACATAAAAGTAACTACATATCATTTAACTTTAAATTCCCGATGTAAAATAAAATGATTGATAATGAATATGACTTTGGAGCTCCATTCCACATGAATTTAAGCGTCCTCGTTCGAGGACTTTCTGTGGTTTGATAATTTATTCGATGGAAACTCGGTCATTTTAATAGTCTGGGTGGCGGACAGTTCAACTGAAAAAATTATATGGGGCAATATGAATGAAATCTCCGCGTCCCATTCAGTACAGAAAGATGACCAGGTTCAATGGAAGTTATCGCACGTATGCGATTAACAAATCTCTTTTTTCATTTTCCCTTGGGACAGGAGGCGGACCTATCTGAGGCACCCTGTAGTCTGCGATATTATAGCGCAAAATTTGAAATTCAGACATCTCTTGGCCATGAAAATATGGCAGAACAGGAAAAGATTTTTTGAGAATCATGCCACATTAAAAAAGTAACTGTAACTTCGTCAAAAAAATTACTTTATGTTCCGGAATAATAATTACAAAATGGGCAGCGCTAGTGCTTCTGCCATACCCCCCCGAAAAAAATTGTTCAATGAATCATTTAGCATGTAAAACAACGAATTCATCAACCAAGATAATTCTAGATTTGTCTCTGATTCATATTATATATGGTCATAGTCTATATGGAAAAAATATCTAAGAATACAAATGAGGTAAGGGGCCCTGCGACGATTCGCATACCACTGAAATTCCGTGGATTGGATGATTTAGATATGACCATTACGATTTAGATAAATATTCTCGTCTCCTATCTTTGAAGAAGTGTGTGAAGGACTTAGGATTCGATGGCAGAGGTAAAGAACATGAAGAAGGACGAAAGAACTTGGAATAACATTAGGAAGAACTGGAGACAACTTCGGGAACGCTTTAACTTGAAAAGCGATGATTTACTGAAAGCTTTGGATGAGACTGACGGGAAGGTGTTCCGCTTCGGCGAGGTAGAAACTATCAAAGCCATATCGGAACCGGAGAAACGTTTCGATGAGATATTCGACATCCTTTTCGCGAAGAATCCCAATGTGTACTATGATGTTCTCCTAAATGCGCTGAAAGCACTGGACCGACAGGACATCTTGGACTTCTTGGAAAGTACGTCGGTTAATGGGTTCCCGGTTCCTTCCTTGGCTTTTTTTTCCCGTACTCGCGGCTGAATTGATAAATCATCCCATTGTGAGTAACCGTTCTTTTCTTTCCTTGTAGGTGCTGATGATGCTCCTCAGTCCCAAACTTCGCCAACTGGCAGGTAAAGAAACCCTTCTACTCCTAGTAAGACCCACTCGCACCCACTCCGTTTTCTCAGGACTCGTTCAATTTCTATCCAGTTCTTATACCTGTACAGTAGCAGGTGGTACTGGGAAAGTGCTTGAAGTCAATGAGAATGAGAAATCTGAGGCATTCTGCTTGAAGTCAATGAGAATGAGAAATCTGAGGCATTCTGCTTGAAGTCAATGAGAATGAGAAATCTGAGGCATTAGAACACGTCAAGTTTAAACCACCCATAAAAAGTTTCGAATTTTCAAACCCAAACATTACTTTAAAAATCTAGCATGATTTATATTACGGGAAGAGTACACCCTTAGTTACATAGATTCATCAAAACAGCATTGCATAGTTTGCTCTTTCGTATCTACAGAATAAACCTCTTAAAGGACATTAAGTTCTGTCTTTCCCTGCTATTTCCATGTATGCCCTAAGAAGCTGACACTGCGATCTTGTTTGAATACTCCGAAAATCTAATGAGACACGTTCGGGGGCGACCATTCACTGTCCACCAAAAAGCGGTGCAGCAAAGTGTTCGTATCAATTCAGTCTCTTTAGATCCGATGCTTCCAGTATAACGGTACATCTTTTAATGTTTCTTAAATGTATCCAAAAGAATTTCCTACGATTTTCATACTTGTGAAAACCCATCCTATTGGATTATTTGTTGCATGAAGTCCATACGACACTTTCATGTATTCAACGACTTGAAATACCTCCCTTCCAACTCCCTCGTTCGCAAGAACATACTCCTTGAGATTTTATAATTTTATTTTTCACGTTATTTCGCGGTATCCGGTTTTCCAAGTAATGAGATTCTGAGTAAAATAGCGCAACTTCAGTTTGTCTTTACGTACAAACGGTCTGCATGTGGCATTACTGTTTTGTTCGCTATTGCATGATTATAAACTTTTCAGAACATTCCCTCCACACTGCTGATGATGAGCTCCTAAACATGAACAAGACTGTTAAACAGTGTTCAAATAGCGGAGTTTTCTCACGGAAAATAAGAATTCAGTGCGCAGTTCCTTTTCAAGTGCTGGCCTGCCTAATCCCATCCTCATCATGTTTACTAACTGTTGTCTCTTTTTTCGATAAATTTAGTTTTTCCAGGTGCAATGTTCTACAGAACAGACCGGATAATGACTCTTCCTGGTGGCGGCATGGTCATCAAGATTTCTTGCAATTTCTTTTTCGCTTAACCGTGCTAATATGATACTGATTGCCATATCAAAATCCAGGAAATTCCTTCCTCATATTTCACATTCTGGAATAGGTTGCTGAGATTAATCTTATTCATAACCGTTGGTCTTCAAGTTTAAATTTTCATGTATTTTATCTGGGGCAGCAACTTACATAATGGAAGGTTTCTCCACGGAGATCATATTACATTTGGGAACATATTGGTCTCTTTACGACCTGGTCAGCAGAGCTGATGAAATTTGTCCCACTGCTTGAAACGGTGGGACCAGTTCCTCCAAGAAAAAAAAAGAGAATATTGTTTTCATCCGAACTGATCAAAGTTCGTGATCTGATCAAAGATCAAACTGATCAAAGATCAAAGTGATGGTGCGTCATCAGCGTCTGAATGCGAATTAATAGTAAGGACCAGTTCTGAAGTTCTAAGTAACCCTGTCAACGGTAACATCGAATCCACATACAAACGCGATTTTCCACAAGAAATGAGATCCCCATTGCGTTCTAATTCCAGGGAAGAACAACAGCATCCCATCGGAAGCAGCTCTGACAGGGAGGACGGAGTCCAACTGCTTGCAGAGCCTCAATCGAGTTCGGCAAGTGTCGAATCAGCAACTGTCTCTGACGAGACCGATGCGAGGTAAAATGCTTAGACAAAACTTTAAACTTCATGCCATTCTGTGATACATAAACATTTTGGAAAATCACAGGGGCTACTCGATCAGGAAAGTCATTTCAAAACTAGGAGGGAAAAAGCAAGATGAAGACTCAAGTGATCCCAGGTAAATCTCATTTTCAGATTTTATCTTACGAGACGTGGATGAGCGAGTCCCTCGTGGTTCAGATATTGGCCCTTGTGATTTCGTTGCATTTCCGTTTTTTCTTGGAATGGAACCTAGACGAATTAAATGAGAAGTATATATTTCCATCAATTTCAGTTCGATCAACTTACCTTTTGAATGTGTATCTGACTTGTTCTGCCTACATTTCGAAGAAAGGTTTCATTCTCTTTCATAATGAATTAGGTATGGAATTTTTTTTCGAAATAACTTACCTACAGCCAATTTATATTTTTCCACGATTTGTATGCAAGAGAATTGCATAACAATGGAGAGAGCATTATATGTTGATATTTGTTCTAAAACTTTCGTGCGAAAGAAAATGATTTGTGTCAAATACGACGCAGAAAATACGTTGAATTTTACAGCGAAATGGGTTTTTAAATATCCTTTATACGCATGACAGTTCAATATATTTGAATCCAGTTATTCAGTTTTAGTAAAGCAACGTGAACCATAATAGATCTCAAGTTCACCTCATTCATGATGGAAATGTATTGTCTTCATTTCTGGAAGTTGTAATAAGTTTAACATTGTCATGAGAGGCATGATCATCCCTTCACACAAAATTGCTTTGGATAATATGAAAATCTTCTAGAATAATATCTCGAATGATAGTCGGTCCCATCAGAGACGTATTCCTTAAAAAAATTTCCTAATTTGAATGGAAATTCCATTTTTTATGGTTCTCATTGGATGGTAGTCGTTTCTCAGAGAAGCAGTGTTCCCAGAACATAAAAGGGGGTCAAAATTGCCTCCTTGCCTTGCGAGCAGAAAAAATAAATATTACAAGATGCTTAGGTAATCGTGAGTTCACACTCGGCAGCATTCTCATGGAGCTACTCAAATTTCAGTGTTCAGTTACGCTCCGGTTGATGAGATCTTAGTTGAATTCAACTTTGGGTTGGTTCAACAAGCTTGATGTGCTTGGCTTTCACAGCCATCTTTTACAGTTTTCCATTCCGAGAATATCTACCCATACTGTCAATTACTGGGTTTCGAATAGGATTGTTCCTGGAAACTGAGCGCTCGGTCATCTCTTGTCTCAAGCAAAAGGGATGAACCCCCCTCCTATTCTCCCTCCCCTCTCTTCTCTATGTTCGTCCCTTCTCCCCGGAAGTTCGGAACTTCTCATTCTCACCCAAAAAAAAGTGGGGAGCGGAGCTCCCACCCGGTCCCCCTTCGTTCACTCTGTCGCTATCGAGCTACCAACTGGTCCATTACCCATTGGTGTTTCATCGCAAAGCACTGCATTCAGAGTTCATTTAAAAGTAAGTCAGTAATTAAACCCGTGATCCAAGATACCTCTAGCCGTGCCCAAGTGGATCCGTGCTAACGCCTTATTGCGTGCGATACGATAATTTCCAAATGATAAATACCTAAAATTAGTAATGCCTTCCCGTCCTGAAATTAAAATTAACTCTCCCTCCCATATGTTGCTTACCATGATGTTACCACAACTTAGACCCACGCATTCTCTAACAGTGAAGAGCCAATTAACCGCCAGTGGTTACGTCGTTACTTCTGGACAAACGCTATCTCGGAAGAAAAAAAAATAAATCAAACTAATAAGGGGAGACGAGTGGAGTTGCGGAATAAAGGGGAAGGCCTTTAAAAATGTACTTCCCCGCCTATGTTATTATAATACATGGATAAGCCATTACCAAGTCAAATGGCCGTGCTTAAAAATATGTAACCCTCCAAAGTGAGATCTCAATCCTTTTTTGACGTAAAGAGGATTGAAGCGACACATCTACCCGATACACCCTTCCTTCCTCCCTTCTCGTCCTCGACCCCATTTCCTCTTCTCGGATTTGGGAACCTCCTTTCCAAATCTGATAAACTGTAGGAAAGCCGTTCTCATCTTTTCACTTTCCTTTATATCCTCTCGCTCTCACTACTGGTTCTATTAAACTTATCATTTGATAAAGGACTCTTGGAGAACAGACTAACTTGTTATTGCATAAATATAAGAATGTATGATTCAATTCATGAATTGAAAAGGTAAGTGAGCGTTCCCCGAGGCCGGGGTTAAGCTAATGGGATCAATTCAGATATGAAATACATACTCTGAAGCGCTCGCTCGAAGTATGCAAAACACACCCATAAATTAATGATGTTCTTGTTCGTCCATGTATGCTTCCTTAGTCGTGACCACCTTTGGAAACCTAAAATACCTGACAAGCTGGACTGCTACAAGATGAAGGGAAGCGGTGGAAAAGACAGGGGATGGGCCATAATTTTCTGTTACGAGGAGTTCGATCAGTATCTTCAGCTTCCCCCTCGCAAAGGAGTGCAAAAAGACGTGAACAATCTGACACGCGTATTCAAAGACAGAGGATTCTCCGTCAAAACATACAAAAACCTTAAATACCAGAGCATCAAGGAAGAATTGTATGAAAGTAAGTCCGTTCTCAAACCTCTTAATCTCAAGGTGCCAACCCAGAGACGACAATTGTCCTAATGATCCCTACTTTGGAATTTATGTTGCCGTAACTCTCCGAAGTGTTATACGGGGTGTGTGGAAAGTTCTGCAATCAAATTTTTCGGAATTTTCAAAATGCTAAATGGAAGGCGATATCACCAGTTAAAAGCATTTTTAAAAAGATATGATGAAGAGGACACCAGAGAAAACATATTACATGAGATAAAAAAAACGCAGTTTCAAGCCAAAAAAATCATTGAAAAAATCAGAATTTTGTTGCAAAACTTTCCACGCATTCCCATAATTTTCTTCAAGATTAATGCAATGTTGCAATGATGCTGAACAACGGAAGTGGGAAATGATGATGAAAAGAGTTTCAACACTCTTTTAAATAAAGTAGTTCATTTATCACAGCTCATACCATACATAGTTCATATATTTATCGCTTTATATTATACATTTATATATACATTTATAAACAGTTCATTTATTTTTTACACACGCTGTATAGCTGAAACTGATTATCTACTACTCTGATTGCAGTTTCTCAATCGCCAGAACTTGAAGAACATGAGTGCCTAATTGTCTGCTTCCTCTCTCATGGGGA